AGACAAGGGTGACTGATATACACATGACGAGGATGACTGATACACACAAGACGAGGGTGACTGATATCCACAAGACAATGGTGACTGATATACACATGACGAGGGTGACTGATACACAAGACGAGGGTGACTGATACACACAAGACGAGGGTGACTGATACACAAGACGAGGGTGACTGATACACACAAGACAATGGTGACTGATATACACATGACGAGGGTGACTGATACACAAGACGAGGGTGACTGATACACACATGACGAGGGTGACTGATACACACAAGGCGAGGGAGACTGATACACACAAGACGAGGGTGACTGATACACACAAGGCGAGGGAGCCTGATACACACAAGACGAGGGCGACTGATACAGACAAGACGAGGGTCACTGATATACACATGACGAGGGTGACTGCTACACATAAGACGAGGGTGACTGATACATACAAGATTAGGGTGAGTGATACATTCAAGAATAGGGTGACTGATACATTCAAGACTAGGGTGACCGATACATACAAAACTTGGGTTACTGATACACGCATTTCTAGGCTGACTAGTACATTCAAGAATAGGGTGACTGATACATAAACGACTAGGCTGACTGATACATACAAGACTAGGGTGACTAAGACATACAAGACTAGGGTGACTGATACATTCAAAGCTAGGGTGACTGATAAATACAAGGCTAGGGTGACTGATACATTCAAGATCAGGGTGACTGATACATGCAAGACTAGGATGATGAATATACAGGACTAGGGTGACTGATACACACAAGAGTAGGGTGACTGAAACATGCAAGACTAGGGTGAATGATACATCCAAGACTAGCTTGACTTATACATTCAACGCTAGGGTGACTGGTACGTACAATAATAGTATGAGTGACACATACAAGACTAGGGAGGCTCATACTTTCAAGATTAGGGTGACTGATACATGCAAGACGAGGGTGATTGACACATACAAGACTAGGGTGACTGATTCGTTCAATAATATGGTGATTGATACTTACAGAACTAGGGTGACTGATGCATACAAGACAAGGGTGACTGATACATTCAAAACTTGGGAGACTGATACATGCAAGATTAGGGTGACTGATACATGCAAGATTAGGGTGACTGATATACACAACACTAAGGTGACTGATGCATACAAGACTAGGGTGACTGATACATTCAATACTAGGGTAACAGATGCATACAAGACTTGTGTGACTGATACATACAAGACTATTGTGACTGATACATACAAGACGAGGGTGACTGATACATGCAAGAGGGACTGATAAATTCAAGGTTAGGGTGAATGATACATACAAGACTAGTGTGACTGACACATAGAAGACGAGGGTGACTGATACACACAAGACGAAGGTGACTGATACACACAAGACGAGGGTGACTGATATACAAGATTTTGGTGACTGATACACACAAGACGAGGGTGACTGATATACAAGACTAGGGTGACTGATACATACAAGATTAGGGTGACTGATACAGAAAAGACGAGGGTGACTGATAAAGAAGACTAGGGTGACTGATATTCGCAAGACGAGGGTGACAGAAATACACATGACGAGGGAGACTGATATACACATGACGAGGGTGACTGATATACGCAAGACGAGGGTGACAGATATACACAAGACGAGGGTGACTGATATACACATGACGAGGGTGACTAATACACACAAGACGATGGTGACTGATGAAGAAGACTATGGTGACTTATATTCGCAAGACGAGGGTGACAGATATACACGTGACGAGGGTGACTGATATACACATGACGAGGGTGACTGATATACACAAGACGAGGGTGACAGATATACACAAGACGAGGGTGACTGATATACACATGACGAGGGTGACTGATACACACAAGAAGATGGTGACTGATACACACAAGACGAGGATTACTGATATACAAGATTAAGGTGACTGATATACACATGAAGAGGGTGACTGATACACACAAGGCTAGGGTGACTCATATACAATACTAGGGTGACTGATATACACATGACGAGGGTGTCTGATACACACAAGACTATGGTGATTGATACATAAAAGACGAGGGTGACTATTATACAAGAAAATGGTGACTGATACACACAAGTGGAGGATGACTGCTACACACAAGACGGGGGTGACTGATATACAAGATCAGGGTGACTGATATACACATGACGAGGGTGATTGATACATAAAAGACGAGGGTGACTAATATACAAGAAAATGGTGACTGATACACACATGGCGATGGTGACTGATACACACAAGGCAAGGGTGACTGATACACAAGACTAGGGTAACTGATACATACAAGACCAGGGTGAGTGATACATACAAGACGAGGGTGATTGATATACAAGTGAATGGTGAATGATACAAACAAGACTAGGGTGACTGAAACATACAAGATTAGGGTGAGTGATACATTCAAGAAAAGGGTGACTGATACATACAAGGCTAGGGTGATTGATACATTCAAGAATAGGGTGACTGATTCATATACGACTAGGCTGACTGATACATACAAGACTAGGGTGACTGACACATACAAGACTAGGGTGACTGATACATTTAAAACTAGGGTGACTGATACATACAAGTCTATTGTGATTGATACATTCAAGATTAGGGTGATTGATACATTCAAGATTAGGGTGATTGATACATGCAAGACTAGGGTGACTAATATACAAGACTAGGGTGACTGAAGCATTCAAGACTAGGGTGACTGATACATACAAGACTAGGGTGACTGATACATTCAAAAATAGGGAGACTGATACATGCAAGATTAGAGTGACTGATAGAAACAAGACTAGGGTGACTGATACATACAAGATTAGGGTGACTGATACATTCAATACTAGGGTCACTGATGCATACAAGACTAGTGTGACTGATACATACAAGACTAGTGTGACTGATACATACAAGACTAGGGTGACTGATGCATACAAGACTCGAGTGACCGATACATGCAAGGGTGACTGACACATATAAGACTAGGGTGACTGATAAGTTCAACACTATGGTGACTGATAAAAACAAGACTAGGATGACTGATGCATACTGGACTAGGGTGAATGATACATTAAATAATAGGGTGAATGATACAATAAATAATAGGGTGACTGATACATACAAAACTAGGGTGACTGATACATACAAGAGTAGGGTGACTTTTACATACAAGACTAGGGTGACTGATACATACCAAAGTGACTGATAAATTCAAAACTAGAGTGACTGATATATACAAGACTAGGGTGACTGACACATACAAGACTAGGGTGAATGATACATTCAAGACTAGGGTGACTGAATTAAAGAAGACTAGGGTTACTGACACATACAAGACTAGGTTGAATGATACGTTAATGACTAGGGTGACTGATACATACAAAACTAGGGTGACTGATACATACAAGACTAGGGTGACTGATACCTGCAAGACTATGGTGCCTGAATTCAAGACTAGGGTGACTGATACATTCAAGACTACGGTGACTGGTACATACAAGACTCGGGTGACTGACACATACAAGACTTGGGTTACTGATACATTCAAGACTAGGGTGATTGATACATTCAAGACTAGTGTGACTGATACAAACAAAATTGGGGTGACTGGTACATTCAAGACTAGGGTGACTGGTACATATAAGACTTGGATGACCGATATACTCAAGACTAGGGTGGCTGATACATACAATAATAGGGTGACTGATACATGAAAGATTGGTGTAACTGATAAGTTGAAGACTAGGGTGAGATACATATAAGACTAGGGTGACTGATGCATACAAGAATAGTGTGACTGATACATACAAGATTGGGGTGACTGAGACGTTCAAGACTAGTGTGACATACATACAAGGCTAGGGTGACTGATATAGAAGACTAGGGTGACTGATGCATACAAGACGAAGGTGACTGATATAGAAGACTATAGTGACTGATACACACAAGACTAGGGCGACTGATACATACAAGATTAGGATGACTGATATACAAGACTAGGGTGACTGATACAAGACTAGGATGACTGATATATTCAAGACTAGGGTCATTGATACATACTAGACTAGGGTGACTGATAAATACAAGACTAGGATGACTGGCACATACAACACTAGGGTGACTAATACATACAAGACTAGGGTGACTGATGCTTTCAAGACGAGGGTGACTGATACATTCAATACTAGGGTGACTGATATATACAAGACTAGGGTGACTGATATATAGAAGACTAGGGTGATTAATACATACAAATTTAGGGTGACTGATACATTCAAGACTAGGGTGGTTGATACATACAAGATTAGGATGACTGACACATACAAGACGTAGGGTGACTAAGATGTACAAGACTAGGGTGACTGTACCGCACATTGGAAGAGAGCATTAACCTACAGTAGGGAAGCTTAAATTTATCATCTCTATTATGCACCACATACTCATGCTGAGAGCGGTAGTCAAAGGTGTCTAGGGACTGGACCACAAAGTTTTGATAGCTGAGCAAGTTACTGTGGTAATGAACTATTTACATGTTTATATCCGGCCTCAGTCGTAATGAGTTATTCATGCAGGCATTAATTTGGTCTCTCTCTCTCTCTCTCTCTCTCTCTCTCTCTCTCTCTCTCTCTCTCTCTCTCTCTCTCTCTCTCTCTCTCTCTCTCTCTCTCTCTCTCTCTCTCTCTCTCGCTCTCTCTCTCACACACACACACAGAGTGGTAATGCTTTATTTACAGTGAGCAAAATTAGGCTATTTTTCCAGAATGGTTTGTAATATACTACTGTGGATAAAATACTTTGACATTTCTTGACATTTCTGAGTGAGTTGTCTCTGAATTTATTAATTTTATCACATTCAGTATATAATGACGCAAGGTGTGACAATTTTCCGTCAGACAAGGTTTAGTAGGGAAGACGATGGCCCAATGCCACATATGTGGGCAATACTCACATGTAGTGGGGAGGAGGGTGGCCCTGGGCCACACAAGGAAGGGTCACTCTGGCACCAGCTGGCACTACCACACGACTTGTTCGCTCACTCATCCTTGGTGGCACTGACCCTTGTGCCTCTGTGACAAAAGAAACTGATTAAGAATCCTAATGTTTGTATTAATTTAATCTTAAATCTAAGATTCTTCCAGTTTGTTCGTGATATTATTTATAAATTTTTTACAATTGATATTAGAGAAATAATATTAAAAACATATTTTAAGTTGCACATGGTATGGCAATGGGGAATCCCGTATACCCAGTCATAAAATTAATTATGAACTTTACACATAAAGTTGAGAAATCTTCACGTTTTCTGGATGTAATTATTGAAAATGGTTATGAATTCTAATTTAAAAAAATAACTAGAAATGCCAAGATGACTGTTAGTGGTAAGGGAGAGGCAAATATTAAATTTGTAGCTGAAATCACAGATCATGTCACCGGCTAATATTACCCCATGAGGGTTGCTCTCTATTACGTAACGAGCACTGAACAACGGAAGAGCGGCGCGAGCTTCTCGCCTGCACATCTGGCTCAGTTCCTCACCTGTTACTTGTGAACAATGCGGTCGAGCAACCCGACCACTGATGCACTGTCACTGAGGTCAGGCCTGAGCCCCATGTTAAATTCCCAAAAATCCTCAAATTCAATTTAGTATGTGCCTTTGCTACCGTTTTTGATGGATTACGTACAGGTCGCTCTCGTGTAGGCTCATTTTTAATTTGTTAAACACGAATGACCCATTGTTTATTCTCGTCAGTTCTTGCTCACCTATGCTTGAGGTATTAACACTCGTCTGTCTCGTGTGAACCGAGTGACCTCGTGTGAACCGTGTGATCTCGTGTGAACCGTGTGATCTTGTGTGAACCGTGTGACCTCATGTGAACCGTGTGACCTCGCACGACTGTGTGACTTTTTATGTTAACGTTAACCTTTTTTTTCTAAATTAACTAATTATAGTTAACTAATTGTAGTTAGCAATATTGCTCACTGTAATCTTGTACGCAAGAGGGACTTTCATACAGAACCTAATGTTACAAAAAGGCGATATCTATAAAGTATAGACATCTCCAGGGAATACTAGAAGGTCTCCACCTCCAGCATCCAGACTGTTTCTGGTTTTTATAACAAGTAGTCAGAAAGTATTCTGGTTCAGTTATCCTTTAAAATTATGATCAATTTTGATAGTGGTTTAGGATTGCAACTGATAAGATACTAACTAACGAAATAAAAATTGATAAGTTTATTAACAAAGTTGTCTAGGTGGACAAAATCAACGTAAATGAATTTGATATAATTTAGGATATAAGCTCCTACACTTCTCTTGTAGTGCAAAGTTAAATTGTGCATATAGCAGTATAGTGCTGAAGGTACATTTCGTAACTGTACGACTCTAAAGCACCGTCTGGTAAGTTGCTATCAAGCATAAAAATGCTAGTATATAAAAGTGTGTGTGTGCGTGTGTGCTCAAAGTCCTCATTATGTCTCAATAAGATTCGACTCGACTCGACTTAAAAAGTGACTGACACTAGTCCACAAATAATCTATCTTCACGACCTTCAAGGCATTCAAAACTGCTTACTTGAACAATATGACGAACCATTCGCCAACAGCAATAATGTAACAAGCAGCAGTACAGCGTCAGGAATAAGGAAACAAAATAACGACTCTAACTGGGGACCATGAGCAGATCCTCCATAAAAGTCATAAAACTCCCATAATACTGAAACTAAGTTCGGCATAACCAAATCCCCGACTACGACGGTGCGTTGATGCCACACAAAATAGGTCAGCTTTAGCTTGGGGCCTGGGTTGACTTAGAGAGTCAGTATGACACGCAACCTCAGCAAAACGTCAAAAATCACTAAGTGTGAACGATGCTCTGTGAAAAGAGTTACAAGAAGTATGTTTCGGCTCATCAGTGAAACCATACTCTACAAAACAGTCTAAATAACTAACAAACACCCAGAGACGAGAGAACTCCCTGGAGAGATGTTTCCAGGACTAGAGGCAGATGAAGAGAGAAAAAGAATTTTCGACTACAGGCCTCACATCAAGTGATATCACGTGACTCGCCCATGCTACTCCAAGAATGATGGGAGATAAGGCTTGACACAAACAAGCTAGCAGTAGTTAGAAAGGAAGTTTGCGATGGCAGGCAGCCAATCACAACTCTTCAACAGTGAGCACAGCGATAAGTGTAATTTGTTACATCCTGTAAAGTAAAAGGACACAAGTGCAACTAATGTGACATTTTATTGTGGCAACGTTTCGCTCTCCAGGAGCTTTATCAAGCCATGGAGAGCGAAACGTTGCCACAATAAAATGTCACATTAGTTGCACTTGTGTCCTTTTACTTTACATATTGTGGGTAATTCTACCAACATTATCATTTGTTACATCCTACCTACATACCAAATATAATAAGTCAAATAATAATATATAACAAGATATTTTCATTTTACCTATTAATGAAAATATCAGCAATGTAAAATTATATGAAAGGCAATATACATCAAATTAAATGTATTTTTAAAGGAAATATATATATATATATATATATATATATATATATATATATATATATATATATATATATATATATATATGTGTGTGTTGTGTGTGTGTGTGTGTGTGTGTGTGTGTGTGTGTGAATGTATGTGAATGTATTGACTAACAGGTTCAGCAATAACAAGTTTCAGTTTCCTGCTTCATATACAGAGTTTCAGAATGAAATATTGATACAGAGGACCCAAAATGGTGGGGCAGCCGGAAGCCAATTTCCTCTAAGAGGCTTAACCTCAGGATCCGATTTGCTGTTGCAGTGTCCTTGGGTATTTCTCCGGTGGGGAAAGGGTTTATGTATTTATATATATAATCATACATATATATATATATATAATATATATTTATATATATATATATATATATATATATATATATATATATATATATATATATATATATATATACATATATATATATATATGTGTGTGTGTGTGTGTGTGTGTGTGTGTGTGTGTGTGTGTGTGTGTGTGTGTGTGTGTGTGTGTGTGTGCGTGTGTGTGTGTTTGCGTGTAGTCACCTAATTGTGGTTGCAGGGCTCAAGACACAGCTCCTGGCCCCGCCTCTTCACTGATTGCTACTAGGTCCTCTCTCTCTCTGCTTCCAGAGCTTTGTCATACCTCGTCTTAAAGCTATGTATGGTTCCTGCCTCCACTACATCACTTGTTAGGCTATTCCACTTCATGACGACTCTATGACTGAAAAAATACTTCCTAACATCCCTATAACTCGTCTGAGTCTTCAGCTTCCAATTGTTTGTGACCCCTTGTTTCTGTGTCTCCTCTCTGGAACAACCTGTCTCTATCTACCATATCTATTCCACGCAGTATTTTGTATGTAGTTATCATGTCTACCCTGACGCGCCTGTGCTCACCTAGTTGTACTCACCTAGTTGAGGTTGCGGGGGTCGAGTCCGAGCTCCTGGCCCCGCCTCTTCACTGATCGCTACTAGGTCACTCTCCCTGAGCCGTGAGCTTTATCATACCTCTGCTTAAAGCTATGTATGGATCCTGCCTCCACTACATCGCTTCCCAAACTATTCCACTTACTGACTACTCTGTGGCTGAAGAAATACTTCCTAACATCCCTGTGATTCATCTGTGTCTTCAGCTTCCAACTGTGTCCCCTTGTTACTGTGTCCAATCTCTGGAACATCCTGTCTTTGTCCACCGTGTCAATTCCTCTCAGCATTTTGTATGCCGTTATCATGTCCCCCCTATCTCTCCTGTCCTCCAGTGTCATCAGGTTGATTTCCCTTAACCTCTCCTCGTAGGACATACCTCTTAGCTCTGGGACTAGTCTTGTTTCAAGCCTTTGCACTTTCTCTAGTTTCTTTACGTGCTTGGCTAGGTGTGGGTTCCAGACTGGTGCCGCATACTCCAATATGGGCCTAACGTACACGGTGTACATGGTCCTGAACGATTTCTTATTAAGATGTCGGATGCTGTTCTTAGGTTTGCCAGGCACCCATATGCTGCAGCAGTTATTTGATTGATGTGCACCTCAGGAGATGTGCCTGGTGTTATACTAACCCCAAGATCTTTTTCCTTGAGTGAGGTTTGTAGTCTCTGGCCCTCTAGACTGCACTCCGTCTGTGGTCTTCTGTGCCCTTCCCGATCTTCATGACTTTGCACTTGGTGGAGTTGAACTCCATGAGCCAATTGCTAGACCATGCCTGCAGCCTGTCCAGATCCCTTTGTAGTTCTGCCTGGTCCTCGTCCGATTGAATTCTTCTCATCAACTTTACATCGTCTGCAAACAGGGACACTTCGGAGTCTATCCCTTCTGTCATGTCGTTCACAAATACCAGAAACAGTACTGGTCCTAGGACTGACCCTTGTGGAACCCCACTCGTCACAGGCGCCCACTCTGACACCTCGCCACGTAGCATGGCTCGCTGTTGTCTTCCTGACAAGTATTCCCTGCTCCATTGTAGTGCCTTCCCTGTTATCCATGTCTAGTCCTCCAGTTTTTGCACTAATCTCTTGAGTGGAACTGTGTCAAACGCCTTCTTACAGTTCAAGAAAATGCAATCTACCCTCCCCTCTCTCTCTCTTCTCTTATTGCTGTCGCCATGTCATAGACCTCCAGTAGGTTTGTGACACAGGATTTCCCATCTCTGAAACCATGTTGGCTGTTGTTGATGAGCTCATTCCTTTCTAGGTGTTCCACCACTCTTCTCCTGATAATCTTCTCTATGACTCTGCATACTATACATGTAAGTGACACTGGTCTGTAGTTCAGTGCTTCATGTCTGTCTCCTTTTTTAAAAACTGGGACTACATTTGCTGTCTTCCATGCTTCAGGTAATCTCTCTGTTTCGATAGCTGTGTTGAATATTGTTGTTAGGGGTACACAAAGTGCCTCTGCTCCCTCTCTCAAGACCCATAGAGAGACATTGTCTGGCCCCATCGCCTTTGAGGTATCTAGCTCACTCAGCAGCCTCTTCATTTCTTTCTTGGTAGTATGTATGTGTTCAACACTTGGTGGTGTATTACTCCTCTCTGTCTTT